TGTCTCCATGTGCTTCGTTGATAACGTTAACATGTTCAAGGTCAGTTTTTTTCACAGATAGTGTTATTCCCCTCACTTACATAGATTTACAAATAAGTAATAGTAAATAAATACATACTAAACCTGTATTACTTTTTGTCAATGGAGCACAAATGGAGAAATGTTGAAGAATTGAAGATTCGTAGTAAACATCAATGCTGTCAAGGTTAAAAAAGCACATAAAAACACCATAAAAGTGGTCCTTGCACTATATTTCAGTTCTTTTGGAATCATTCAGCCAGGTTTATGTGAGAAAAATAGAGAAATTAAACCATTTTTCACTTTTAAATCAAGTTACCGTCTTCCGCCATTTTGGAGAGTACCCCAGAACGAAGAAGGTAACTCGGGGAGAAGAATTGCTGAATAATTATGTTATTATTGTTTTCTTTGTGCACAAAATGTATTCTCATAGCTTCGAAAAATATAGTTGAACCCCTGATGTCACATGGACTTTTTTACTGATGTCCTTGCTACATTTATGTGCGTTTATCTTGGTAATATCCTTGCTGTCTATGGAGGGTAAGAGAGCTCTCAGATTCCATCAAAAATATCTTAATTTGTGTTCCGAAGATGAACGAAGGTCTTACAGGTTTGGAATTTTCATTTTTGGGTGAACTAACCCTTTAAAATATTTGTGGGGGGGTTGTTTGAGCACACTTTTGAACAGCTCTTATAAAATGAAGCTCACACTGCTGTTTTGCAGCTCAATTAGTCCTTGAAGCTAATCTTAGGCTAGCTTTGAGTTCTTGCCAGCTTTTGGACATTTTTTTAAGTTTGGGAGCGATTGTTTGGTTGTAGGAGTTATGTAACTCCAGAACCTGCTCTGTGGTGATAACAGAAAGCTTATGGCAGACAGGGTGGAAACTCAAAGGGATTTAATCCCATGACATTACCGATTATCGTTGGTTAGCAGAGTCGCTGAGGAGAACAGCTTCTTTGTCTTGTGGTTATGGCTTGTAAACCAAACGGCTTTGACGTGACATTGCAAGATCGCTCTTTTTTTTTTTTTGCCCATGAAATGCACAGTCATAAATATTAGCAGGCTGGAAATGGACATGTGTGCATAATGGGAAATTGGCTGGCCGATGTATAAGAAGGTTCATTAAACTAAATTATTTATAATTTAAATGACTAAAGAAAGCACACAAAATAAGTACTGTTTGGTAATTAATAATTCAGTCTTCAAAAATGGAAATTATAAAAACGTGTTGGGATTTTGATCAATTTGATTCATTGGTTTGTTGCCATGGCGACAAATTAGAGTGAGATTTTGGGTAAATATAAATTTAATGTAATAAGTTTAGCCATTCCAAGTAGTTGATTAACTGGATGAGGTACCTTGGTGCCTCTGATTGAAATTCAATTGAAGTTTTGTTCAATCAACAGAATCCATTTTAAGCAAAATACTGAATGCTTGCATTCCATTTAACTGATTAAAGAGCATGTGTCGCCTCCTGTGAATGTTAATACTCACATTTAAGCCTGACTAGCCAAGTTTCGTAATTCAAAAAAGCAAAACATGACATTCAAAGCATGTCTGGCTCAGATATCCAGCAAACATCTGGTCTTTTAATCTCATGTAATATTGACTTGGGCGGTATGCTCTGTAATACTCAAAAATCAGCCTTTTTTGAGGTATCATAGGTTTTATATGTTGGATGTGAGATTGAAAAATAAGATACGGTAATTGGTTTGGTAGAACTAGCTTAATTTTACCAGGTGTCCAGGATGGCACAGATGTTGTTTAACCGCTTCAAACCTCTGGTCTCTCAGAAGCAGTTGTGGTGAACATGACATCTAATTGTACTGACAGTAAGCCTCTTATACACCTTCATTAGATTTCATTAATAGTCTGGAAAAGATAATTACTCATTGCAAACGCAAATTAACCCTTGGCCAGTAATGATTAGGCCAAGCAATTCTCCCGTAATCTACGATACCGCCATCCTTTTGGGATGTAATATGAAGATTTTTAGATGTTCTGCATACATTAGCCAAATATCATCAGACTAGCTGAACAGCGTAGAAAGGCAGATGTTATTTTCTGGTCGGATGCTACCTGCTTTTCACAGGATTGTGTCTTCAGCGCTTTAGATTATCTTGTGCACTGATATGAGGATTATGAAACTGAACAGGAAGAGATGTAATGTTTTCCCTTTTAATTAATCATAGAGACTTAAAATCTGCTTGTTTCATCACTTGTTCTTTGGAAAGAAGGACTGTGTGATATATAGCTAAACAAATATCAATTTTCAGCCATCTGATGATATTCTTTATGTATCGTTGTATTTATGCATTTGCTCTAAAATGTCTTAAAAGTAGGTTAAAATGTTTAATGTATCAGCTAAAATCTAGTTAAAATAATCAAAATGTTTAATGTAAGACCTAAAACACAGATTAAAAATGTAGGAAAAATTATAAAGGCATGATTTATGAATATTTGAATGATATTCACAATGTTGCTTCATTTTATCGCCAGTAAAATCATTATGAATATATTGTGCACATTTATTCATCTGGCCCTAAGAAGGACTAACTTGATGTCCTCATCCATTTTGGATAAGCACAGGATTTTGCTTTTAATCTTAAATAACTTTACTTATTGAAGACGACGGATATTCAGATCACTGGAAATATGCTTTTGAATCGAGGAAGCATGGCATGGTTTTAGACTACTTATGTCCTATCCGCTTATGAGAAGGTTTTCCCAGCAATATTGTCCTTAAATTTTTTGTTTTCAAGGACATGTTATTTTATTTATTAATTTTTTCTTGGAGAGATGATAAAGAGTTTGCATGAATTTAGCACTCTGGTTAATTAGGTAAACACATTTGTCTTTCTTTTACATTTCATTATTGTTTTTCTTGCATGTTCTCACTCTCTTTTTTTCTCTCTGTCCACCCCTTACATTCTTTCAGCCAGATGAGAGCTGATTCAGCCAATAGTCGGTTGTGATTATGCATATTCGAAAGTTCCTGACCTTGATTTGAAATCATTGAGATGCAATGCACACCGGATGCAAGTAACGAGATATTCCAGTCCTCTAACAGCCTTGGTCAGCTTTCCTGGTCTATAAGCACTGATGGGTTTCCCACACTTCTTCAGTGAGTTTCAGTTGCCTGCCATTCAGTTGAAAGAGGATTCGAAAGGATGGACAACTACTGAATTCAGTGACAGTGTTTACATATACAACGAAACACTAATAACTATCAAGACTCAACAAGAATTATATCGTTTTGTTATCATATGACTCTAGAAGATATAGCTGTAGTACACAAGTCTTACAGACTTATTTTTGATCATTTGAAAGTTTTAACTTTTTGAAGCGCCAGTTTCTGTTCATTTTAAAGGGGTCATATGATGCGATTTCAATTTTTCCTTTCTCTTTGGAGTGTTACAAGCTCTTGGTGCATAAAGAAGATCTGTAAAGTTGCAAAGACTAAAGTCTCAAATCCAAAGAGATATGCCTTATAAAAATTAAGAGTCAACCACGCCTACCTAAAACGGCTCGTTCTAACAAGCCCCCACATGTCTACGTCACGATTTGGGAAGATTTGCATAACGCCGCCCAAATGTTCACGCAAAGAAAGAAGGCGTAACTTTGATTCTCGCTGTAGTATTGTTACCGCTACCATGTTGTGGAGACGCTGTGTGTTTCGTTATGAAAGCAAAACTACTTTATTTGACCTTCCAAAAGAGTACACAACTAGAAATCAGTGGTTAAGTTGTATTTACAACACTGTTCCGGAACAGTTCAACCCAA